GAGCAGATGTCCTGGCAACGCCAAGCAGAGGCAGGTGAGGAGAGGCCTGTGGGCTGACCACAGGACACTTGCATCAAACAACTGCCCTCCACCACTTTCTTCTTCCAGCTTCTGTTCCCAAGTATACACAAAATGCAGTCCTTCCACAAGTGTTCAGAAAGTTTTTATTGGTTACAATTAGGTGAAATGTATCATTCAGATTCTCCCCTAATTGTTGTGTTTGCGGTTACAGCATTAAGAAGTCTTTTACACAACTGACCAGCCAGTGGTGTGCCTGATGCTAGAAGGGGAGCAGCGGCACACACCACCTCGTCTGTCAGTAATTCCTCTCTCCCTCTCAAGGCTACGTTGGTTAGAATTAACAAACAACCCCTTTTGTACGTCAAGTTGTAAATTTTAATGTTTCCATTAGCATCATCTTTCATAGCACTCTCCAACAAGAAGCAATAAAATAACTAACAGCAAACTTCAATACAGGAACACTCTCCAGATTAACAATGCAAACAAAAAATAAAACGTAATCACATATAGTACAATTGAAGCGTCCAAAACAATTTAAATAATTTTAAATATTTTATTTTTCAACTGCTACAAATGCTTTATACAGTATTTCAACATAAAGTCCCCGTAACAGAAATGTAACAAAATGGGAATGATAAGTGAAAGGGTTAAACTGGCACAAGTTCACCAAACAAGTCTTAAAACTACAGATTTTTAAGAGGTAGATTACTTTTTTAAAGTTGAGAACAAAAAAAAAAATATGAAAAACAACCTAGCCATCTTCCACCAACTCAGTCATGAATTTGGGGGGAGGCATAAAATGCATGGAGAAATGATTCTCATAGATACAGGAAGAAGCCAATTTGTTTTAATCTCTATTAGACTGAAGTGTAAAACCTGGTAAGTAAATTCATGGATACTTACATGTAGACATACATCTATACAGGCCTGGGATGCAGCCTGTGTGTTGATATATTGCTACATACTCTCATAATATAATAGTTATAAATTAGTGCCAGATAATAATCTGAGAGGATAATATCCATTTGGATATACAAACATGACACTAGAAGAGGCATAAAAAGAGTCCATATCCAGTCTGGTTTCCTCTCCGTTATGCTGGCAATCTGCTTGTGATTTTTTTTTTTTAAAAAAGGGGGCGGCGGGGTTAGAGATCAGCCAAAGGCCTCACTCTGTCTGTCTGTAGTTCGTTTAAGAGAAAGGCATCAAGAGCTGGTGTGTGAACAAATGTTTTTAAATGAGTGCATCTGAATCTGTCTCCCTGAAATCTACAATAGATTGGTAAAACAGAGAACTTGCTTTGCAAGGTGAAGATCAAATCATTCCCTTCTCTGCTATGGGCCAAAGATAAGGGCCACACTCAGATCTGAGTTCCCAGTCCCGTGACGAGGAGCCAGTTCATCTAGCCGGACTGACAGTGCCCTTTTCTTTGGATGTCAATCACCCGGGAGCCCAGCACGTGTGTGGGCGCCAGCGAAGGAGCGGATGCCTGACTCTAACCAGGGCAGCAAGAAGCCTGGAGGCAATCAGCTGTATGTTACGACTTTTGAGTCAGCTTCAACTGGTCTTGCAAGCTTGGTAGATTTCGTATCCTTGGCCGTAGTGCTTATTCTAAGTTGAGCATGCAATATCTTTTAGTCAATTAAGGTTTGTTTTGTTTTGGGGACTTTTCTACAGGAAGTTCCTAGAAAATAAGAAAACTGAAGATAAATGACAACATAACACAACCTTGAATGAATTGACCATGTTAAAGAAAAAGGTGAGGAGACCGTTAAGACAAATGTTAAAGGGACAGCAACATACAAATGACTCTGAAGCTATTTAGGAACTCAGGCATCCTATCCCCAAAACACAGGCTCTGGAAGAAATACCAGCAGGAACCTTTCTGAGTGGTGCAGCAGAGATGTTTGGGGCCAGGGGGAGCAGTTCTTCCTCAGTTCACAGAACGTGAGACAGCCTGGTCTGGCATTTCATTCTGCTTCTCTCTGTTTAAGTTTTCGAGACTGGCTGCAATGGAAGCTCAGTATAAAAAGAACACACTGTGCTCTACAAAGAGCATTAAGGATGTGAAAACATCCTGGGATCTCCAAGGGTGAAAATGGGCCTCCCTGGAGCTGTGGAAATGAACCTTCACACAACTTAAATTCAGCACCACCAAGAAGCCTCGGCCAGGCCGTGACTGCTAACTCAGGGAGGACTGTGTCATTAAGAGGCAGATGACAAGCTGGGCACGGTGGCATGCTTGCTTTCCTTTGCTGCTCTGTCTTAAGAAAGGGACTTCGTGGGACACACGGCTTTTTTTCATACCCTGAATGACACAAAGCTGGTGAAGCTGCTAAGCTCTCCATGGTAAACAGGAAACCTCTACTGCAGTCTCATGGCAGTACTTACGAAATCCTAAACTAGATTTCAAATGCAAAAACCTGAGTGCAGAGGACCAGATCATACACCCTGTTGTAAAGAAGTAAGTCGGAAAAAGACGTGCTGTCAGTCTGTGACAAGACCCTCTGTGTGCAACAGGGAATGCAAAGCAAAACCACCAGAAACAAGGGGGAAAGCAAGTTATCTCTCATCATGTAAGAGAGGTATCTTGGGCCCTTGAACCATTTCTGAACAAATTCCCAAGTAGAAACACACTGAAGGAAAGCCAACTGCAAGTAAAACAACTCCTTATCAACAAAGTACAACACACACACGGAAGATGAGGCCCACTCTAGAACAGCCCTGGCAAGATGTTAATGGCAACTGTCTTACACACGCCGTGGGTCTGAGCTTAGGAATCCCAGTTTTGTACTAAGAAGACCAAAACCAACTCTGACGAAATGCCCGCTCTTGTGTCCAGAGTCAAAATACAGAGTCCTGTTGTACTACAATGTATCCACAGCACATTTCCAGCAACTCACAAAAGGGAGGCCGAGCTACCATCTAATACAACCGTACCAGCATTTTCTTATCTGATTCTCCTGTGCTTCCCTGTAGGATAAATTTCACACCAGTAATGTGAACCTCTTAACCATCAAACGAAGCAAAATAAAATTAACTGGAGGAAAGAAGAGAGACACTCTTATTTAGGTACTTTAGCACTTGCTAGGCTGAAGGGCTCTTGCAAGCACCGGGTAAGAGGTTAAGTGAATAAATTTCTTAAACGCACAGTTACTCAGCTCTGTTAACAGGACCTAAAGTTTTTTCATATGAACTTTATCCTTAAGTTGTATAAATACTGCCGAGTACAAAGTGAGTGAGTCTTTTAGATAACGTCAGAGACAAAAAAAAACATTAAACAGGATGTTCTAAAGCCTTTTTTAGTACAATCTGTGAAAATGGTGGCATATTCTGTTAAGACAGCACCTTGAAAAGGACACAGCTCCATGATGTGCTGGTGTGGAATCTGCAGACACAGGCTGAGCACACGCGGGTACATAGGTAAGCTGCTGAGGCAAAGCAGGCTTCTCACCGGGGCTAACCCCTAGAAGGCCGCCAGGGCCCAAGCCCACATGCTGATCATACCTATAGTAACTAAGCTATTTCACATATTTAAGAAGTAGTTTTAAAAAAAAGATCCTTTACTTCTATAGTAAGCTATTCAAATCAGCCTTGGCCAATACTACTCTTTACATCTGTTTTATCTTTTTTTTGTTTTTGTTTTTGTTTTTTTTTTAAATCCCTGTTTTTTTGAGACACGGTATCGGTATATAATCTAGACTGGCCCTGAGCTCTGTGTGATCCTCCTGCCTCAGCCTCCTGAGTGCTGGGATTATAGGTGTGCCGGGCTCTACATCTTTCTTTAGCCATGACTTAATCTACCTCATCAATGCTAAAGTGACAATGGCACAATCGTGTCCTCATGACCTTTCTAAATAGTGGGTGCTCCACAGTTACCACTAATTCTGGTTGCTGAAATACCAAAGAAACGTAAGGCACTGAAAATCATAACCACAAAGGTCCAGAGCCAGGTCAGGCTGTGTACTCTGAAAAAAACAAGATTTAGGAGTATTTGCAGAAATGCCGTCTGCTGATCAACCCTCGTGGGACTGACCTGCGGGCATTGTTAGGAAAACAGTAGAAATCCCAAGAATGCACATCAAGTCAGGCTAAGCGACTCAGAAAGGTCACCTCCAATCTAAGATGAATCCTTGTATCATCACCGGGGGCAAGAGGCACTGACAGATGAGGCTGACCTGCCCTGGGTACCACACGTGCCCGAGAGAACCTCGAGGTCCTGCCTCCCTGTAGTTCCGAGCACCCTCTCCTGCTCTTCTTCCCCTTTGGAACCCGGCTTGCTGATTTCCCTAGGGCTGGAAGCAGAGGAAGGGAGGAACACAGGCATTTTTAAGGAAGAAGGTCCTCTGTTTTGACCAATGTGGCAAGTTTTAAAAATTCAAACACTGGCAATGGAAGAAAGCATGAAAATAAAAGCAGTCCCTGTTACTAGCAAGGCACAGAAACACTGAACAAGACTACAAGCTGGCTTGCTAATGGACCGGTGATCCACCTTAAACTAAGAAGTCATCTGTGATAAGGAATACTACAAAGACACTGAGTGCGGCTGGGGACGTAGCTCAGCGGCGCAACGCCAGCCTGGCAAGCGCGAGGTCCTGAGTTCGATTCCCAGCACAGCCCCACCAAAAAAAACCCACACTGAGATATTACCCAAGATATGAGGGAAGTCTGAGAGAACTTCATCTTTTCACATGGGGTATTTTTGAGAGTTTTTCCACCGTTTCACATTTAATTCATACCTGGCCCTATTAAAGAAAATGATACCACTGTGAGTCCTAAGTCTGAAATAAAAACTATTTGCTGATTTCTACGGCTGCCAAACCAGTGATCCCTTTCATACCTATAACTTACCCAAAAGTTATTATTTCTTTTAAATACTCAGGTCAAAAATTTACAGGAAAATAAAACGAAATAGAAAAAGAATAAAAACACCTGCAGGCAAGCCATGGTCCTCACCCCACCTCAGCCTCTGAGCTTACCTGAAGTCCTTCAGCTCCTGCTTGGCACTGCTGTCCTCCCTCCTGCTTTCACTTGGGTCCGCAGCAGCTGCCAGCTGAAAGCTTCGGGTGATGGGGCCCCCACTCCGCTCTCTAGATTTTACACTGAACCGGTCTGTTCTCTTCTTGCTCGCCAAAGCGGCCTTGCTTTGTAAAACAGCTTTGCTTTTCTGCACCCTCACGTGCAGGCTCCGGGACGTTTTGCTTGAGAGCTGAGCAGAATGGTTCTTGGCCACAGCTTTGGGTTTCTTGCCCTCCACGTGAGTTATTTTGGCCATTCGTATCGGGCTAGAGTTCCTCAAAGAGGAGGAGCTTGGTTTTTTGGATTTGACGGAAGCTGCGAATTTGACATTCTGCTTGGACCTGAAGGACGAGGAGGGTAACGGGGCCGGGGCAGGGACTGAGCTGCGTGCTCTGGTCTTGCCCAAAGGCGCCTGCGTGTTCTGCATCTTAATCTCCGCGTCCGCTGTCCGTCTGCGGTGGTTGTTACTGTTTTTGTCACTGCTTGCAGGTGACGAGTGTCCACCTTTCTTGGCTGAATGAGAGGCTTTTTTTTTGGAAGGAGAAAGGGGCTTTTTGGGACAGCTAAAAGCAGCGTGTTTGTTCAGGCTCCCAATGTAGGTGAACTCTCTGCTGCAGTACGGGCAGATGTGAGACGACGGCTCGGAGGCGTTTTTCAAGTCAGCCTTCTGCTTTGCAGACTTGTTTTTTTGAAGGATAGCCTTCTGCACAAGCTGATTTTTCTTCTTCAATGCATTTAACTTGAGCTTATTTGGTGACATTTTGCTGAGCTCAACACTAAAGTTCAGTCTTTTGGGCTGTCCCATTCGTCTGAAGGCATTTTTCCCCGAACTGTCCAAGACCACCACTCCGTTTCTGGGTTGTACAGTTTGTTTCAACGGCACTGGGTTTTTCTTGGGGGTGTACCTCTTCTTGTCACTCGCAGAAGCACACGCCAGGATGTGTTTGTGCAACTCGGGCATGTTGTCAACACCTTTTCCACATTTCGTGCAGCGGATGGCAGTAGTGAAAGTCTGTGGAATATTGTGGGTAGTGAAATTCGTGGCCGTCACACCAATCCCCATGGGGTTTCGGTGGTGGTACTGAAATGGAGGTGGTTTAAAGCTCGGGTAATGCTGATTGAGACCCAACCGGACATCTGGATCTTTCGTCTTTATTCCAGACGCCATTATCTTTATGGTGGTGTAAAGCTCTTCTGAGGAATCGTTTAATTCTTCCTCTTCTTTGGAAGTTTCCAAAGTGTCTTCCGGCAAGCCCTGCATATGCTCCATCTGGGCCTTGCTGGGGTCTGTGAAGTTCTGGGGCCTCAGTGTCCCGCTTTCGAACTCATGGTGTGTACATACCTCGTCTGGGTGCAGATCTCGCTGGTGTTGCTGCAAATTGCACAAGAAAGCAAATTCTTTTTTACAAACGGAACATACAAAGATATTCCCGACTCCATGAAGCAAAAAACGATGCTCTGATAAATCCGATTTATCCTTAAAAAGCTGCACACAGAATTCACATTTGAAGGGCCATTCCTCAGCATGAACAGATAAATGTTTGGTTAGGTCTTTAATGGAAAGGAAAGGTGATTCACAGACATTGCAGATGAAGTTTTTGCTGAATGTTTCCTGAATGATGTCCTGCCTGACTGCAGACTGGGGCTCCTCCCTGGGCTTCAGGCTTTCGGTCTCTAGTTCCTCCTGTTTGAAAGTTATTGCAGGGAGCGAAGCCTCCAGGTTATCACCGGAGGACACCACAGATGACACCGCTGAGAGAGGAGGGGGTGAAGGGGATGAAGATGAGGAGGAGGAAGAGAAGGAAGAGGAGGAGGAGGAGGAAGAGGACGAAGAAAGCGTTGGAGGCCCAGGTGAAGCAGCCGACAAGAGCGGCTCCCCGGGAGGCGTGGGAGAGGGCGAGGGCGACACCGTCGGGGACAGAATTGGAAGTGGAGACTGGGCGGTGGTGTTGGAGAGCGGCGAGGGACACCGGTGAGGAGATGCACTGGAGGACGGGGCAGGAAGAGGGACAGTGGGAAGGAGGGGAGGGGGCGGAGTGGCAACAGTTAGCACAGGAGGACACGCCAGAGGGGAAGGGGGGTCTGTGGGGATCAAGAGAGGAGGCAGCTGACTGGACGACTGGGAAGGCGTCTGTAGGGCGGGTGACGAGGGACACACTTCGGCGGGGGATTCGGCAGCAGGGGTAGAGAAGCGAGAGTCAGTACTGAGGTCAGGATCTGGCTGGGCTTCCAGGGATTTACAAGGGCTTGGGCTCCTGGTCACGTCAGGAGTGCTTTCTGCAGGTAGGTCGATGCCATTGTATTCATTAAGAAGAACCTTCTGCAGCATGGAGGTGGTTGGTTTCTTTTTCTTGACAGCGCTACAGGTTGGCTGAGCTGCATGATTCTCTTTGAAGTCCTTGCCTTCGGAGTCACCACAAGGCTTTTTATGCACACTGAGATCTAATACAGATTCCCACTGGACCGAAGTCTTGCCTGTCCCCTCAGCCTTCTGTTTGACTCCGCTGGATAAGTCCAGGGGTTGTTGGTTGCACACGTTGCTAAAAGTAGAACTAGCCACCCAGTCTTTCGATATTTTGTATTCATCGAAGCAAGGAGGGCTCCCACTGTCTCTCTCCTCTCTCCCAGACAAACCCCAGGCAGGCGAGTCGCTTCGACTCTCTAACTTGGGCTTCTTGGGAGTGAGCACCGCGTCCGACCACGCCGCTTTCCCGTCGCTGGGCTTCCCGAAGTCTCGAAGGGCGGGGCTGTGCTGTGGAGAGCTGGGTGGGGAGCTGGTCCGCCTCTTAAACCTGCTTGAGGTCACGGCTAACATGGATGCGGGTGCGGACACACACATGGGACCTAACTTAGGGACTTCAGATGCTGAAATCCCTGCAGGAGGAGCCAGCTTATCCTGCGTTTGGAGAAGCTGTTTGAGCTTGGATGACAAATAAACACTCTTCTCTTTATGGAAAGACACGGCCTCTGTTGTCGATATGCTAAGAGGCAGGCTTAAGGAGCAGGAGGGTGCGGTGGGGTCAGAATCTGTTTCGGCTTTAATTTTGGGAAGCACGGGTGGACTTGCAGTCCTCCGTTTCTTGGACTCACAGTTTGTGCTGCTCGAAGGCTCTTTAGGAACGTCATCTGTTACGGAGACCAGTGTGGTCTTTATATTTTGAGTAATTTCCACTGTAACCGGAGCGAGCAGACAATTTATGCCATACAAGTCTGCCGAATTAGACTCCATCTCAATCACATCACAGTTACTAGTGCTGTTGTTGGTCTGAATTTTGCCATCAATGTAGTAATTTAAATTTTCAGAGATATTGCTGGAAATGTCCATGATGTAGACGTCATCTGCTTCCCCTTCCTCCTCTGGCTCTGTGCTGGGTACGTAGACATTTGGGGTGGGCTGCGCCTGCTCTGCCGGGGGCTGCGGCTCATCAAGGAGGCCACCTTTCCGCCGGACACCTTTGGGAATCAGGTGGCGCTCGTGAACTCTGCGCTGATGCCGTCTCATGTTCGTGTGGGTGCCGAACACCTTCTTACAGTATTTGCACGGATGGAATTCCTTCACTTCCCCATTCTCTTCCACGGCAGAAGGATGCATTGTTTCTTGGGAAACTTTCTCTGAGTTGGAGGTCAGGCAGTCTTGTCCAAGATGGGGAGGATTCGCCTCATCTTTAGCAGCAACACTTTCTCCAGAACCTTTGCCATCAGCTAGGTCCTCGGATGGCTGCACCGCTGCGCTGGGTTTTCGCTTTAGCCCTGCTTCATGGCGACGCTCATGACGTCTCCGGTTAATCTGTGTGCCGAACGCTTTCCCACAGTACTTGCATTTGAAAGCATGGTTGACTGTAGACATGTGGATATGCATGTGGCGTTCGAGCCCCTGCTTGGTGGTAAACTTCCTTTCACAATGCTGACACGGAAACATAAACGTTTCAAATACATCACCATTGACCTCCTCTTTAGTTTCAGGGATTTCGATGACAGGAGTTACTTCAGAGGAGTCTTCAGGAGTTTCATTCGAAACGCTTTTTGTTTCTTCGAACAAATCCTCTGGCTTCTCGTCACAATGTATTTCTGGCTCTTTCACTGAACTTTCATCTGGCATGTCGGCGTCTTCCTCCCCTTCTTCTTCCAACTCATCATCTTCTTCTTCTTCTTCCTCTTCCTCCTCCTCCAGGTCATTCACCTCACAGTCTGCGGCTTCTTGTTTCCCTTCCAGCTCTGGCTGGGGCTCGCAGGCAGCGGGGGGGATCAGCAGTTCTGGAAGCGCATCCTGGCTGACCACGTCCTGCGGTACAGTTGGCTGTTCAGGCGCTTCAGCCAAAGGCCTCTCTTCCTCTTCTTTAGGACCTAGAAAGAACAAGAAGAAAAACACAAGTGAGGGCAAAACCAGCCCCTCTTGGGTCAATTCCTATGATTCTGCCTATTATCACCTAAGATGTGTCATAAGTATAGTTAGCAGTAAATAAATTCCGCCTTATATAAGTCATTTATAAGTTAAACTGGTTATGAATCCATTTCATTCATTCGTTCATCCCTTCAACAACTATTTAGAAAGTACTTGCTTTGGGCCAGGCAACATTCTGGACATACAACAGATAAGAATACGCACACTGCGCTTGGATTCATCTCAGTGTGTAGACATGTATGTCTACAGCCTTAAAAATGGTAAGCCAGGCATGGCGGTGCACGCCTGTTATCCCAGCACTTGGAAGGCTGAAGCAGGCTCGCCATGAGTTTGAGGCCAGCCTGTGCTCCATAGCAAGACCCTGTCTCCTAAAATAGAAAAAGAAAATGAAAAAGAAAGAAAGAAACTGTAGAGCTTGGGGATGAATCTGTTCAAAATATATCACACACACTGAAACCATCCCCACTCCTCTCCCAAAAAGGTGAAGCTATGGGGAGGGCAGGACAACAGACTGACTGGGGACGAAGATGATTAATTATGTTACGTGCATGTATAAACCTGCCAAAAGGAAACCCATTAATCTGTGTAACAAATACGTACTCATTAAAAAAGATATGAAAAAAAGTTTGGTGCTCACAGCTCTGTTGGGAGTCAGTGCTTACAACTGTGCTGGAGTCACTGATACTGAATTTCAGGAAACTATCTGTAAGTTTCTGTTTCTCATGATTCCAAACTGAAACAAAGAAACTGCTAAATGTATCCCCAAGTTAAATTCTTGCTAGTGCCTCTTGAATGCGTGATCATTCTCCTTTGGGACTAAACTGCCTATGGAGGCACTAAAACAGGAAATGTCCCGCTCAACCTGGTGTGCATGGAGAAAGGGGGCGGGGAAAGGACACAATAGAAAGATGAAAGCTGGGTAGGGGCCTAAATAAAAGGAAAAAAGCCACGCAAATTATCTGAGGGCGAGAAGTCCTCTGAACAGCAAATTTGTAAGCTCAGAGTCAAGACCATGCCAGACACGTTCAAGGAAGTCAGTAAGGCTGGGGGAGGGGTGGGAAGAGAAGGAGGGCAAAGATGAGACCAGAGGTAACCAGGGACACCACTAACACTGACGTTATAGACTGCTGGCCTTCACTGAGTCGACAGGGAGCTACCAGAAGGCTCTAATGGGGAAGTGGTACGATTTGATTTGTATCCAAGAGAATTGCAGCTGCTATCAGGAAGATGAAACACGCTGGGTGGACGAGAAAGGCAGGTGGGCAGGGGAAGCCTGCTCGATGCTCCAGAAGGGCAGCATGGTGACACAGAGGGGGCGGGGCTGGGGGAGCTGACAGGAAGCAGTTCAAGTTCGGATACATATTTCGGAAATGAAGCCAGAGTACTGCTTGTGGACTGGCTGTGGTGATAGGCAGTACGAGCGACGGCACGACGAGCCACATCCTGTTCGCTAAACCGTAAGGCTGCAGGAGTAGCAGGTTTGGTCGTGTGTGTGAATGCTGTAAGGAAATCAAAGAGTTTACTTTGAATGTGCTGGAGTTTAACTTACACAATGTGTTGGTCAAGTAAAGACTTAACATGCATAGTTTCGTATGAATCTATAGTTTGATGGAGAGGCTAAGCCTAGCAATATCCAAGTCCTCGGGGTGGAAAAGGCAGAGAGAAGACAGCACTGCCCACCAGTGACTCCGGTACTGAGAAGGTGGGCAAAGGCCAGCGAGGTGTATGGACAGCAAGTGAGGCCTGCAGGCCAAGAAACCTGGTTCACGGAGACACTGGTCAGCTGAGTGCAGTGTGGGCTGGGTAGGGTGAAAACTAAGAACGGAACACTCTCTTTACAAGCTCTGGTGACTGTGACAGCCGCTACTGCGTGATGGTGAGAACAAATCCTTAATGGAGGTCACATAAAAGAATGGAAGGAGCGGAGAGAGAAGGGGAGCATCTCTTTCAGCGTTCTCTGTAAAGGAAGACACAACGGGCTAGTACTCGGAAGGAAACCTGGGGACAAGAAGGAAATGGAGCTACTTTTCCCATCACTTGACAGATATATACTGAGTACACACTACACGCAGCACTAGGTAAAAAAGATTGCTGAGATCCATCCTTCCCTCACTTGTAACGTATCAATATCTACTGTATCTGTATCCACATCTATATCTCTATGTGGGTAAATTCTAAGCATACAGTAAGATAAAATGTTAACCAAAGCTGCAGGCAACCATCCTATAAAGTATGTGTCCTATGGAAACGCACTGGAGGTGCAGCTACTTTGGGTGAAATAATGCCAGGAGGCTTTACAGAGAGAATATCTAGGAAGCTGACACGAAGCATGCATGAATCAATGCTAGAAGAGGGAAAGCTCACAGGGAGGAACCAAATGTGCAGGATGTTGTAAACGCCTGTGGACCTGTCTGGGTACAGTGGATATCCGTTAAGGTGTTTGGGAAGATGGGAGGAGTGTCCCATTGAGAAATCTGGTCATAGGGCAGGTTAAGGGCGTCGGAGAAGGACTTTGCTGGATGAGGAGACCGAGACTGATATCTTGGTTAGGATGGGCAAAATGGGCTAAAAGATGGGAACAGAAAAAAGCAGGAGAGGCAGGCAGGAGTGGCCCATCTGTCAAGACACAAGAGGCTGTTAACAGACATGGGAATGTCCTGGGTATAGAAGGAAGGGACTGAAGCGCCCCCAACGCTGAGAGCTCATCCCGTGTAAGGTGAATACAAAGCTCAATTATCAGGTGCTGGTGCTCCTGCAATGGAATACTGGCCCTACCTTGTCCCATCTGATACCACATTTACTAGCAATGAGGCTCCTGCTTCTAAATGGAAACCAGCCCTCTCCCCCAGACTAATTTCATAAATTCCATGAGGGTTCCAAAAGATCAGAAATCAGTCACGCAATTGTGGTAATCCATTTCAAAGCAAGGACTATTTTTTCAAATACATTTTGAACAAAGACTCAAGTCAAAAGGGAAGTCAGAATAAGGCAACAGAAAATCTAGCTCTAAAGCTCAGAAATTTCTTTCTGGAGCATTTCCTGTCACTACATGTAACACGCAGGGAATAAAGTCTTTCCCGTGCCTGGTGAACCATCTCAGATTTAAAACTGGTCAAAGTTACTACGAACCTAAAAGCGTACAACTCCATCCATTAGTAAGGCCCACATCGAAGTTTATCTATTAGTGCAGGCTGCTGAGTTTTACACAGAACGGGGTGTGGGGAACACCAAGAGAGCCCGAACTGTTTGCACTTTTTATAGTCCAGTTGCTGAGGACAATGCAGAACATTCAAGGAGGCCAACAACTACACTATACAGGACCAACCTCCCTTTGGACAGCAGAGCCAGAAACAGGCAGGCAGGAGTAAGCCTCTTTGTTCTCAGGAAATCACGGTGTAGAAGGAAAAAGGAACTGTTTTGAATTATTTCTCTTTCTTTTTTGTTTTGGTACCAGGAATACAACTCAGGGCCTTGTGCTTGCCAGGCAGGTACTGTGCTGCTGAGCTACATCCCCGGCCTTTTGAATTATTGAAAAAAGCATTTCTTTTTTTTTTTTTGCCACCAATTTAATCAAGTCCTTTAGTAATTTTTTTGTTCTTAAAGTTTGGTACTGCGAAGCAGAACCTAGCTTTCCAAGGACCTGGGACATGAATGCATCTCATCTATTCCCACCCGCTCCTCCCCAACAAGGTAGGTATTTATTACTCACTGACATAAAGCACAAAGGAAGGTTTAGGGACCAAGATGGGAAGATGATCTCTGCTCCCTCCAATCAACCCCTTGTGTCTTAAAACACAATGACTTCCCAGGCCACCCAGGAGTCATTTGTACCTAGTCCCAGTGAACTCCATTGTTCTTGCTTCATAAAAGGGCAAAGAAAACTACAATTCTTTATGAATACCATCATCACAAACTGTGCTAATAAAATGGCTATAAAGGCACCTAAAATGTTTTGTTGATTTTCCCCCTTCTACAAATATTTCTTGACACAGTCACAAGGCTGCATTCTGAAATTTGCCTGTTTACATTGCTATGAACAACACTTGAGCAAGCCCTGGTCTTGGCATAAATCTGCCCGTAACAATTGAAGACACACCTCCCTCGTTTCTACATGAATAGTCCCAACAGCGCCTCAACCACAGTGAGCCCACAGCAAGTTCTCTCTCCTACGAACCTGTAACCCCTGTCTTTCTACAGATTCTTACATCAAGAAAGGCATAGAATATTAAGCCTCAGAGAGTCTGTAACAAAATCTTCTGACAAGCAACACAAAAAGATAAATTAAGAATTTAAATTCTAGCAAAAAATCCCGTATTTTTATTCTGTTACATAAAATCAAAGGTTTTTTTTTTAAAGTCCATGTTTTACTAAAGTGTAAAATATGGACATGTTAAAGTGGATACATCATAAAGCATATAGCAAGCTGAAATTTTTACAAAGTAAATGTCCCCATGTAACCACCACACAGATCCATAACGGGACACTGCTAGTATCCTAGAAGCCTCCTCACGTCTCCGCCAGTTTGCCCTTTACCACCATAGATTTGTTCTGATGGCTTTGAACTTTACTTTCTTTATAAATGCTATCATGTAGTATGTTTCATTTTATTTTAACGAGAATAATTTCGCTTTTCAACAAGGAGGCTCTTTAGTAATTTAATAAAGGGAAAGTAGGATGTGGAAGGTCCAATTCAAGGTACGAAATTTAGGCAGCTTTTTTGCTGTTTAACATTCCAACCCCCTTTGTAGTTCTTGGATGATTCTCAAGAAAGGCAGACACAAAGTTAAGTGGTAACACACACCCAAATCAGACAAGCCCAAAGTCACAAGCTTACCTTCTGCAGAATCTCTCATATTTGCAGGGGTGAAATCTGGCTCACTTGTCTTCGGCTGTATGTCTCGGGATTTGTTTCCTTTGTTTTTATTTTCCTGGGATTTTTTCTTCCCTGCAACACAACATTTATTTACTCATTCATTCATTCATTCATTATCATCCTGAATTCTTGAAGGAGATAATTACTAACCCCATCATAGCAAACTGTATTCCTGGGCAATTATCACTGTGGATTCCTAATGAAAGAAATGATGAATGTGGATATTTTCAAGTCTTGCCAGAAAAAAAATATGTTTGAATCTTCTATCTTTTAGAATGTCAGGCATTAGTTTCCCTTACAAATGTAATAGCTATTAAATTAACATACTATAGTCTCAAAAAGTTAACAATATTAAACTCAAAGATTGTTAACAACACTGAGTTTAATACTGCGCAAGTCACAGGGTTGGCAATTATTGAAAGAAGGAGATTAGAGAAAAACAATACTGTGTAGTATAACCTGGGGCCATTCTGGTTAAGACGTGATTATTCCTATTTGTCAAAGCAAAACAACAGAAGTAGAGATTCTGCCGAATTACAAGGGATCCATGTGCACAATGGCTCAAATATCAAATGCAGAGAGGTTATCAATAATTCACTGTCAGTCAGCATGGCCTTCAGAAGGCCCTGAGGGATGTGCCTCTCTAAGTCCGGCACAGTTCAGTGTTTCATTAACAATTCAGGGGCTAAAATTCAGGAAATGCTAACTGCATTCCAAGTGATTCTGTAATTTAAAAGGTAAGATTAAAATGCAACATTTCTCTGGGAAGCTGAACAATGAACGGAGGTCCCAAAGGTACTGAATACAGAGCGCTACCACTAAGAGTGCCACGTGGACCGCAGGTTCAGAAGCTTGGTCTCTGAGGACTAACCCACAACTGGTAGCCCTCCTTCGCTAGTTTTTAATTTCCAAATTTCTTTTTCCGCGCCCTGATGTTTTCCAGAATTCGGATGCAGACAGGTGCGCATCGTCCCTGCCCCTATGTCTCAGGGCACTGCTCTCCCCAGACAGGACGCCCCCCCAAAGCCCCCGGGCCACCCTGCCTCTTCTGGAACAAGCTCCCTGCCATGCGCACCTCAGAATTAGTAAAATCACAAACGAGAAACTACTCTGCTTCTGGAACACATGGAAAATTATGTTCTCCATAAGCGTGAATCACCAGAGAGGGCTATAATCAGCAAAGATGCAGACACTAGACTGAAGAGAGATGAGAGACACCAAGGATCACTGAAAAGGTGGTTAAAAATAGAGAAATAAATTATAGTACAAAGCAAGTGCCAACCCTAAAAAAACGCCACCCAGTTCTGATAAAAATTTAAGAGCTGGAACAAAAAAGAAAAAAAGCACTAAATGCTTCATAGTCATTTAGCTTGTTAGTCTTACAGAGTCAATTCTAAAACACCTTGTCAAGGGACTAATTTTTCAGTCAGTAAGAAAACAGGTGTGTGTCTGTGTGTGTGTGTATATATATATATATATATATATTTTTTTTTTTTGGGGGGGGGGGGCAACCACAGTAGCAGGAGTTCACTCAGTTTGCTGACAACATGCCCACGCATTTATTTCCATCTGCAGTTAAGATGCAGCCTGGGACACAAGCATACACTTCACAAGAACCACATCCTGGTACCAAGTCCAGGGTCTACAGGCAACGGTGGATTCACGTCTCCAGGCAGAGAACTGTAAACTAACCCCCTCTGTAAGAAACACACACACAGACACCTTTCCACAGGGTGCACGCTTAGGATTCTTTTTTCCTTAGGCAGGCTAACACCATTTTTCCTATAGGTAATGACGACAAAGCCTTTGGAGGGATTCAGTTGTTTAAGGAAATCTGGCTTCTCTCCTTTTAACCAGTTCTCTCGTCCCCAGTATGACATAGGCCCTCCCTGTGGGTATCTGATTACAGATAGCAAACACTATACAAGTCCCCACAGACACGCGAATAAGATGACCAGCTGCCTACACAGCAGGACCTAAGGCTGGTACTGAAGGTGGAATCCGAGCAAACCCACAGCTTCTTTACCACGTGGAGGGCCTCTGACACCGCCTCAGATGCTCCATTCAAAAGCTATACTCAACCAACGGAGTCTGGACAGACTTACATGATGCTGCACATCACTAATCCCAATAGTCTGGGAGGCTGAAGCCGGAGAATCACAAATCTGAACTCAGCCTGGGCCACTTAGTCAAACTTTTTATCTCAAAATAAAAACGGCTTGAGATACAGTTCAGTGGGAAGGGCCTGGATGCAATCCCTAGAGCCACAGGAGCGGCGGGAAGGGGGGGGATATGAATTAAGAATCACAGACGTTTTTCCCTGAATCAAAACCACAAAAATTTTGCATCTGCACTACCTCACATACCCAAGCAAGCCAAGGAATGTGACCTTTGCTTAGTGACTCTTGGCGACTACTTATTTTCTACTTCACATGAGGTTTGTAAATAAATTAAAATAGAGAGGCACAGTCCAAAGCTGGCCTTTCCGCATAACCTTACAGTCCTTACCCCCAAGTGCGGCACAAAGCAGTTAGCGCAGTTAGCGCAGTAGCGGGTCAAAGAAAAACACAAAGCACACTGGTTTGCATGTGAATGACAAGATTTCTAGGCTTCTATTGTAATAAAACAAAGCACAATTTTAACACTACTATTCATTACAATCTACTCAAGACACAGACACAAAACTTTCTGAAAGGTACAGCTTTATTTTTACTCGCAGCCTAAAAAAAGGTCAAATGCCCATTTCTGGACTCCCCAAACCTAATGGGAGCAAAATTCCTTTTGTGCCTCCACGTATCTGCCTTGAAAGCCATGGCCATGGAGACACAACCCACGGAGAAGAGGCCACCTGCAGTAGGAACAGCTCCCGCACCCGATCTCATTCAGAGAACTAACAAGAGTATGCTTGCCAGAGATGGCTCTGGGGTACCCCAAAATTTCAACCGCATGTGATGGCGTTTGGAGTCAGGCAATTCTCAGTTGTGGTGGTCTGTCGAGGTACTGGAGAATGTTTTGGAGCACCTATGGGCTCTACCTACCACGTCATTGGTGCACTCCCCCGCAACTGTGACAAGCACAATCTCCAGGGAGGGAATCTCTCCAGATTCAGAGACAATGGGCTACGCCAATGTGTGGTGTTTCTGAGTCACTAAAGACATGCAGGACTTGGTAGGCTATGTGTTTATTAAAAGTGACAATAACTACTTGGATAACACTAATAAAAATGAAGGAATGGAACAATTAGATTTATCACCAAAATAACTTGGTGATCAATGATATATCTCTAGTATGACTCAAAGACCTTTCATTCACGGAACTGAAATTATCTGACACATCAAACAATTTCATCAACCTTAATCAGAGCCATCTTCAATGATTTTCTATTAGGGCCTTAGACCGGAGACGAAAAGTTTATCATAACACACCTGTCCTATCTACTAGTTTGTGGAAGAAACTTAAGGCTGGGGCCACAAAGGCATAAATCAGCTTGTGACAGAAATGGTAGAACTAGGGCTCCTGCTCACACATGTAGCCGGTGTCTCAACAACAGGTGGGGGAACTTGCTACATGTTCTTGAATCAGTAGTTCTATCCTATACGCCATCAAATTTAAAAACAAAAAGCAAACAAACCTATTAGAACTTTCACAAAGGAAAGGCACCTGCCCAGCTTCTGTCTGCAAGGCAAGAGGCACTGCTAGGTGCCTGGCAAGTACACGAGTGCACTTACCATTGAGCTCCCGTAGGGTCCTACATGGCGCTACTGCCAGCTGGCTGCTCCACTTGGTCTAGACAAGAAAGATACAGGAATGAAACACAAAGAAAGTGAAATGGAAATGATCACAAAGAAAAGCATGAAGGACAGGACAAAGCTTTATAAACAGAAGGTGAAGAAACACACAAAGATGAAGACGAGCAGGTGAAACAGAAGGAAAACAGCAGTTATCTACTGCACCAAGGTTCTCACATACTAAACAAGTTAATTTCTAACTAGTTAGTTGCCAAAGTTAGGACCAATGCCACATACTCATTCTTGGGCCCGTACCATGCCTATAGTTGTAACTTGACAGCCATATGGCTTAATTCTGTTAGAAGACCTAGAAGTCCCAACTCTCCTTTTAGAGGAGACCCCCAAGATACAGAGTTAGGAGTTATCCACCCTCGGTCACAAAACCACACTAACTCTGAAGCCAGAATTAAAACTCAAGGATAACGCTAACAGTGCCTTCTCCCACAGTTATTTCTTAAGACCAATAATGGCTTAATAAGCATCCCTTATTTTTTTATGCTTTACATCCATTATCTCAATTGCAAAATTAAATAAATTACATAAAGATGTCCTCTGCATTTATAGCAAAGGAGTAACAATCAAATTGGAGTGTCACATTTTCCATGATTTTGTTTTACGCCAGAAACAAATTATTGGTTAACAGCAGAGACCCTGATCTGAACCAGGAGTGACTCATCACTCAATAATATTAATGAAACATGACTTTCTAGTGGAATAGCTACAAAAGAGACACTGAGCAGCCATAATTACTTTCTCAGACAACAGACAGCATTATACTGCTGGTATCCAGGGTGCAAGTTGCAAAATCAAAATTGCCTGAAGCAGCACATGAATAATTTAACCTAGGTCTGGACTATGTTCTACTATTCTAATAAACTAGACAAATACCAGGAAATTCTGGAGAATAGAATGTTTTACTTAAAAATGTTCAGGCACCAAAGGAAATGCAAAATTCTAGAAGGCTTGCTCAAGTTACATTAAAAATTTATCACAACAATGAAGGGTTGTGCATTCAGTGATTTAACAGAATTCAGTTTAGAACTAGATGAAACTCTCCATGTGCCGCCTCTTCACTGGGAGCTATCCAACTCCAAAATGTAAAATCAGAATTAAATACCAAGCACAGAAGGCAGGGCTGCCTGAGCTTCATTTGGTAGGCTCACCTTTGATACAGCTGATTGCAAACCAGCAGCCCACCTGTTGGAGTTCCACAACTATGCAATGAAAGGTCAAAGACAGGAGCAGCCCCATATAGGCTCAACACCAACTCCCCGAAAGATGGGC